CAGCAGTGTACTTCGTCGATCTGCCTGTTCTGCTCCCCACTCTGTCCCTGGTGAATCCTCTCACCCTCTGCATTTCTGGCCTGTACCCCAGTTCTGTATGAATAAATAAATAAATCTTTAAAAAAACATATATGATTGAAAATGCATTTCTATGGGGAACCAAATCACCGTTGACAGAAAAGGAAGGAGCAAGTATAAAATTTGACTGTTTCTGAAATTCTTTCTCATTCCCAATAAGTAAAACCAGCAAAGTAATCACCATGCAATTGTTACAGAACAGTGTTCTTCATATCTTTGTTTTGGTTACCTATTTTTATTTGATAAATACCTTTAGATCGTTTTAGGTTCACAGCAAAATTTAGAACAGTTCCCAAGTGCCCCTGTGCCCCAGAAGCACAGCCTGTCCCCGTTTGCTCATGCTATGCTTGCGAGTCGATGAACCTGTGGTGACAGCCAAGTCCATGTCTTACATGAACCTTCATTCATGCACACCTGGTTTCACTGGATTTTGCTTTATTGTGCTTTTCCCATGTTATGTTTTCAGATCCAAGATTTATGGCAACCCCATCCTGAGCAAGTGCTTACTTGGTGCCACATTTAGTCAAAGTATATGCATTCTTTTTTTTTTTTCTAGACACAATAACATTGCAGTTTAATAGGCTACAGTAGACTGCAAGCATACCTTTTATATACTTTGGGAAATCAAAAATTGTGATCTTTACCTTTTTTGTGGCAGTTTGGAGTTGAACCTGCAGGATCATGAAGGTATGCTGCACACTCCATGTGTGCACTAATGCATGGCAATGACATTTTTGCACCTCTGCAGTTCTCTTTAGGAGTTTCACAATCCTGTGCTCTATTCACTCCCCCCTTCAACACCCCACACCCTGACAACCACCGATCTTACCATCTACCATAGTACTATCTTCTTTGGAAAATGTAATTGGATCAGGTAAAGTATGTAGCCTTTTGAGACTGGCGTCTTTCACTTAGTAATATTTAGGATTCCTTCGCGTTTCATGTCTGGTTGGCTCACATTTTTTAGTCCTGAATATTTCACTATCAGGATGTAGCACAGTTGGTTTATCTACCGCCAACTGGGCTGTTTCCAAATCGGGCAGTTATTAACAAAGCTGCTAGAAACATCCATGTGCATATTTTGTATGGCTATAAAATTTCCAACCTTAGAGTAAATATCAAGCAGCAAACTGTGTTTAGTACATATGTGTACATACACATACGCTTACAAAATAGAATACGTTGCTGCGGTTATTTTGAAGTTATCTACTAAATCAGTTATAATGACTTCTATTTCGACCTACAACACAACCTCTGGTGAATTCTCCTTTTCATGTCAAGATGAGCTTTTGACCTGTAAAATTTTCCTTCCTCTAGAATTTCTTTGAATATTTCTTGCGAGGCAGAGACACTCACAATTTTCCTCCATTTTGTTTGTCTTAGAAAATTCTTATTTCTTCTTTACCTTTGAAGGAGACTTACAGTAGGGAATTCTGGGGTGATGTTTTCTGATTTCTTTCAAAATTGCATCTTCAATTTTCTTAAGTTTGAAAATACATCTATTTTAAGTTTTTTTTAATTTTTGTTTTTAACTGGGTGACAGTCTGAGTTTAGTGGGTTTAATGTCTGATACTAACTTGGAAATTTTCAGTCATTATTGCTTTAATCATTTTTTTGTCCTTTCATTCTTCAGAAAATAACATGTGAATGAGACACCTTGTCTCGCTTTGCCCCATAATTCCTGAATTGTGTTTTTCCCTTTGTGTTTCAGTTTTAGAATTTTTAAAAAAATTTACTTATTTATGAGTACAAGAACTGGGGTATAAGCCAGAGGTATGGGGGGGGTGGGGAGAGGATTCACCAGAGACAGAGTGGGGAGCAGAACGGGCAGATCTACTGAAATACACTGCTGAGGGGAGCAGTGGGGGGATCAAGAGAGGTCTGCCACGCCATGTGGGCCACCTCCCTGGCCAGGGATCAAACTGGTGCTACAGATAGCCTCATCAGGCTTCACTTTAACCCACTGCACCACCAGGGAGAACCCTAGTTTTAAATTTTCTATTGTCATGGTTTCATTCTCAGATTCCTTCCTCAGTGGTATCCTTTCTGCTCGAGTCCATCTAGTGTTTCCTCTCTTCTGTTAGGAAGTTTCTGACTTCTGACATTTCAATTCTTAGAATTTCTATTTCTCCTCTTTTAGTGCACATCTGTTCTTGCATTTTATCTCTTGCCATTAAGCAGTCAGCATATTAATCTTAGTTGTTTCAAATTCCTTGGTTTCATAATTCTAAAATTTCTGCCAGATCCAAGTCTGGTTCTGATATTTATGCTGTCTTGTCAAGCTGAGTTATTTTGACTTCTTTATGTTTTTTTTTCCTTTAGTCATTTTTTAAAAAGATTTATTTATTTATGCATTTATGCAAGTATTGAGGCGTAAGCCAGAGGTGCAGAGGTGCCAGTGGGGATGAGACAATTCACCAGAGAACAGAGAGAGTGGGGTTAGAATAGGTGGAGCTACTGAACTACACTGATGAGAGGAGCAGCAGGTGAGATAGGAGAGGTCTGTTGTGCCATGTGGGTCAGCTTCCTGGCCAGGGATCAAACTCATGTTGCAGTGTCTGCTGATAGCTTCAGAGAACTGTACTTTTAACCCCTAGCTGACCTTTGGTAACTGTTCTTGGTAGCCAGACATGACATACTGGGTAAAAGGAACTCCAGGAAGTAGGTCATCAGTAATGATGTGGGAGATGCGTTCTGTACTGGCATAAGGCTCAGGCACTTGGTGAGCCTGTACCCTTGCACTGTGAGCATCACTAGTGCCTCTTTGCCTCCCTCCCTGTGGAAAAGCCTCGTACAGAAAAGATGACCCATAGGGAAGAAATCAGAGACAAGAGATTGGAGCTAAGGACTAAAGAGAGCTACTATAAACCTGAAACCTAATAAAGGAGTCACCCCCAATATTGGCATGACTGGATTTCAGATCTTCTAAGGATCAGTGGCTTTTCTCTTAACTTCCATTTGTCCACTTTTGAGCCAGAATGTCCATAGCTGCTGTCTTGTATTCAATTCACTACTGTATTTTAGTTGTGTTGGTGGCAGATGACTTGTCACCAGCTCCACACGTTTGTAGATGGAGAGGAGGAATTATGCCCAAGGAGTTGGATTAAGTGGATTATAATCCAGGAACCTCAACTATACTACTGGACTTGATTGAGATGATCAATGTTGAACTATGAGTCAATGTAAACCAATGTTACCTCAATTTAAAAAATGGGGAAATAAAGAATTACACATTGAGGGAAAAGCTTTGAATCATTACATGTTTTTCATCAAAATTCATAGGTCCACTGGCCTCTGTGATGGCACAGAGGTTAAAAATCTCAGCACTATTAAGCTATCACCAGCCACTGTGTCCTGAGTACAATCCCCAGCTAGGGAGGTGACCCACATGGTTCAGAAGACCTCTCCTCTCTCACCCACTGCTACTCTCAGCAGTGTATTTCTTTTTATTTATTTTATTATATATATATATATTTACATTATTTTTCATTTTGTACATTTTTCCATCTCAGTGGTAATCCTCATGGATTACCACTTCACCCATGTGCCATCACCATAGTCTCATGTGCTCTTCCCACCCTAGTTTTGATCTTGTTTATACATACACATATATTTCCTCCCCCACCCTGATCCCTTACACTGTTGCTATATATTTCAATAAATCTACCTATTCTGCTTCCCTCTCTGTCTCTGGTGAATCCTCTCAACCCCCATACCTCTGGCCTATATTCTAGTTTTTGTATGCATAAATAAATAAAGCTTTAAGAAAAAAATCATAGAGGTCAGATAACTGGAATATATTTTATGCTGGAAAAAAAGAATTTCATGTTTCTACATAGAAATCCATACCCAATTAATATGTCCATCAGAAATGAGGCAGTGTAATTTTAGATGAAAGAAAACTAAGAATTTGTCACCAGGTATTCAAAAAATGCCAAAGGAATTTCTTGTCAGATGTTACTCAAAGAAAACATAGAATATCAGGACTGAAAGAATAGAAAAATAGTGAAAAATATCTAAAAACATAATAGAAAATCTTCTTTTGTGGCAGTTCTTTTAACTATGAGTCACAATTAGAGTAAAAATTATATCAATAATATTGCCTCATAGGTTTTTAACATATGTAGAGGTTACAGATAGGATAGTGTCAATGGGGAAGAGTTAATGGATTTATATGGTGATAGGCTCTATATTCAATTTGACTTGGTAAAATATTAAATTCTTGAATACATTATGAAATGCTAGATACATATTATAATACCAAGAACAATAAGAAATATATAAGGATATATTGTAAAAATAAAACTCAAGAAATTAAAATAGAAATCTTAAAAACAATTCATATACTCCAAAAGTAAACAGTAACAGAAAACAGAAAGAATAAACAGACAAGGAATACTACAGCAGTTTTATAAACAAACAGCAAGCACCTCTCACTAGTAATCAGGAACGTCAACCAGATCACAGAGCTCTAGCTCTTCTCTAGTATCAGACCCACAAAGTCTCAGTGCGGGTAGACATGGGGGGTGAGTCACAGACACTCTGGGAACATAAATCAGCCAGTCTTGGCCACAGCACCGGGCGCTCAGGTCAGAGACAAGAGCTGCGTGCAGGTCCCATAGACTCACATCTGCTGAGATGTTAGCAGTGTTCAAGCTCAGAGTCCCTGCAGGGGTCCCTACTGTAGCCTTCCGGACACTTCCCTAACACACCCCAAACCTTCTCCCTGGTGTTAGAGGATGGGCAAACCTTCTCCCTGGTGTTAGAGGATGGGCAGAGTGGCACTGAGGGTGTGGGTGGTTCCCTAATTTGACCATGAGAACCCAGCAGCTATGACAGCATGGAATTTGCAGTGCACGCGTGGGTTTCTGACTGAGAGTGAGAGGGGCGCACACATCCAGAGAGGCAGACACACACCAAGGTTTGAGAAAAACATGTTTTTAATTATTCTCTTGGCTTGAGCTGCCATTACAAAGACCACAGACTCGGCCGCTTAGACACAGAATTGAATTTCCTCACAGTTCTGGAAGGCAGACATCTGAGATCAGGCAGGACTGGTGCTGAGGCCGCCTTCCTGTCATGTAGACAGCCATCTCGCTGAATCCTCGGCACTCACAGGAAACACGCAGAGTGAAAACACAGAAAGAAAACTTGGCACCCGCATGAAGTACCGGGTACTTCCACCACAGCATCCTCTCACCTCTAGTCTATCTGTGTCCACAGAGACAGCAGCTGAGCAAACTGACACGTCTCTTCTGCTGGCCCAAGAGCTTCTACTACAGTTCCAAATGTGGGGTGCCCATGAACGCAGGCATCACTGTTCAGGAGAGCTGGGCACCTCCATGCCTCTCCCTTGCCCAGTCAACAGCACAGGTGAATCTGATCTGCCTATAACGTCGGACTCCGCTCTGGAGCCCCCCAAGTCCCAATGTCTACCATCTCCTGGACACCTGTTGGCTGCAAGAAAGGACAGGAGAGAAAGGTAAGTTTTTGAGTTACACATACCAAGTAAGTAGCCTCTCTTAGCACCTGAGAGCTTCTCTAGAAGACAGCCTGGCTTTCCCGAGACTGCTCACCAGACGGGAAGACTTGGTTAGATGCGCCACGCGCTGGCTGCCTGAGGCTCCCACCCCTTCGCCAACATCCAGAAGAATCCGGGTGCTGGGCACAAAGCTCCAGGAGCGTCCGAGGGCTGGTTTGAGCTTCCCGCTGTCCCTGTCTCGGGTCAGGTGGTTGGTCACCTGTGCAGAAAGAAACAAGTCTACAGTGCTAGTGTTGGAAAGTCCATAGCAGCAATTTCTACTGCTTCATTTAACAGATGAGAAACAGAGGCCCGGTGCAGAGAAATGACTTCCCTGAGGCTCACTAACTTCTAGGCTCCTGGCTTGTGCCAGAACAAAGATGGCCCAGGCTTAACTCTGAGCAGGCAGCAATAGGACTTGTGTCTTGGAATCAGCGGTGCTGGCTGCACTTTCTTGAAGGGAAGACAGCAGTGGGCTTGAGTCTCCTCCACTTCTAACCCAGCAGGCTGAGACCTGCCCATGTCCTTTGTGGCAGTGGGGGTGAGGGAGCTTTGGAAGAGGGGCTCGGGGCTGGTCAGTCAGCTCTGGTCTGCCAGGCTTGTCATGGGGAAGCACCCTGAGCCTCAACATCCTCTCGATGACGTCCCCAGCCTGGCGCCAGGCAGGGCTATGGCCTGTGCAACACTGAATCCTGACTGCCCAAGCCAGTCTGGCACACAGAGGTGATCATGGAGACTCTGTGACCCAGGAGAAGAGCAGAACAGGAAAATAGGACCTCTTCCACTGTTCTAAGGAACCACAAAATTAGTATAACCTTTTTGGAAATGTGGCAATGTCATATCTAAACACTTAGAAATAAAGGGATCCCTGATTCAGTTGTTATATTTTTAGATTGAAGAAGTCATATGAGATGCTCAAAGACTGAGGTATAAGGATATTTACTATAGTGTTCTTTATAAGAGAGGAAAGTCAGTAATGACTTTAAAGCTCCAAGTCAAGAAATGTTTAGATTGCTACGGTGTAACGGGTTGGTGAAACACTGTCCACAGAAGTTTGTAAATCGGGTTGTACTGGAACACAGCATGCCCGTCTGTCTAGGTCCTGTCTATGGCAGCTCCCAGGCAGGGCTGGCTGAGTGGTTGCAATAGAAAACATATGGTCATCAAGCCTCAATATTGACTATGTGGTCCTTTACAGAAAAAGTTTGTTGACTCCTATAACACAGGCATTAAATAAAATAATATGTGGTTTTATTGCACAGGTAACCAATATATAAATAGATTCTTAAAAAGAGCAGACAGAGAATGTAGACTTTAAAAATTACATCATACGCAAGAAAACTTATCTTAAAAGCATAAAGACCCCTTTCTATGAATCTCTGAAAAAGGTAAAATTACTGACACAGAGACCAGATCAGTGGTTGTCTGGGGCTGGGGGACCTTTCTGGGGTGATAAAAACATTCTAGATTTTGATTGTGATGAGGTGACAAGATTAGAGAGGATAGTATCTGGTAGTCAAACCTCAAACAAGAGGAAAACTACTCCACATGAATATTAACTTAATGATTGTCACTTAAAAGAATATAAAAAGGAAAAACAAAACAGTCCCTTGTCCCTTAGCTACCCGTGGCCTGATCCCGCCATAGTCCCAGCACTCTAGGAAGTTGGATTATGAGCCCTTCCTAGATGGCCACTTAGGGATGCAGACACAGAGATCCTAGCAGTTACGTCTCCTCTTGAACAAGCATGCCAGCCAAGCCCACTTCCTCACCACCACTGCTACGTTGAGGTCCCGGGCCAGCATCTTCAGCTCTCGGGCCAGCTGCATCATCAAGGCCAAGCCTGGAGGAAGAGAATTAGTGGAGGGCAGCAGGAGCTAGGCTGGCTGGAACCGGATCATCCCCCTGAGCCTGGGCTCTGACATTCACCACTCACCTTCCGTCTGCTGACCTCCCAGAAGTGGGGAGACCACTGCAGTGACTGAATCCACAACCACCACCTTCACAGTCGCTGAAGAACCGCTGATCTGGGGGATTGGGAGAAAGCAGGTGATATGACCAATTGGCCTGTGGGGGACACCATTACAGAAACTGCTAAAATTTAAGGAGGGGGCAGGAGAGGTCTGTCACACCATATGGGTCAGCTCCCTGGCTGGGGATCTACTTGTGCTGCAGTGGCTGTGGATAGCTTCATAGTGCTGAGCTTTAACCTGCTTCACCACTAGGGAGGGCCCCCACTTGCTTCTTAAATACACCAAAAAAGTGAGAGCAAATAGCATCACACAGCCTCAAGGAACATAATGCAGTCATAAGAGTGGCAGCCCAGTACCTTTGTCATATAATATCACTTTATCCAGAGATGACATTACAGTACCTCTGATTTAAGGTCAGAAGCATGTCACAGGACTCATCCACAATCAGGGGGAGGTTTGACTACCTCAGGGTGGGGTAAGAGAGCCATCTTAGGGTAGTTCTGTTGTGGCAAGCAGAGAAGGACTTGCTGTCCCATTTTAGCCAGTTCAATCCACTCTCCTATAGATGGCAAGGGAGGGCTAAGCCAATTAGCTTGTCCTTTTTCTGCCATCCTCCCTTAGAAAACTGGTAACTGGCCAAGAGTTAACAACTGGAAGATGAAGAATACATGCAAAAGACCAGGCAGATACTCTGAATAGCTAGGAGTGCCTATGTGAAAAGGGAGAAAAGCCCTCTGAAACATTCAATCAGCAAATGGTTCAGATATGAGGAATAAGGGACAGAGAGAAAAGCACAAAGGACAGTTGGAATCCAGAGAAACTAGGAGGACACATGCTGTGTAGAGACAAAAATTATAATGTAAACAGATGGCAACAGTGTTCCTCTTTGGGAAATAACCAATCCTGTTTGGGGCCATTTCAGCTGTGGAGGGTGAGGGCCTAGAGACCTGACCTAGAAGAAGACAGTGACAGAAAGCAGACAGACTCTTCAGCAAAGTTATGAATTTCAGAAGTTAGCAGAGGAGGGAGTCAGAAAAGGACAAGGCTTAATAGGATCTGGGGGGGCAGACTCCCAGAGGGCTGCTCCCCTCCCTCAGCAGTGTATTTCAGTGGATCTGCCTGCTCTGCTCCCTACTGATTCTGGTGAATCCTCTCACCTCCTGCACCTCTGGCCTGGACCCCAGTTCTTGAATGCAAAAATAAATCTTTAAAAAAAAAAAAAAACCCGTGGGGGTTACAACTGAGACAGAAAAAAAAAAAAAAGAAGCAGCAGTAGCAGCAAGTGCCAGCAGTGAATGGCCAATGGAGTGGTCCACATGGCAGAGAACAGTAGGTAGTCTCTAGGAGCTAAGAACTCTGCTGAGAACTCTGAGTGAACTTGTCAGCAGGTTATACCCAGCTGAAGCTTCCGATGAGAACACAGCTCAGTCTAATGAGACTCTGAGCAGAGGACCCAGCTAGGCTGTGCCAGACTCCTGGTCCATAAGCACCGAGAGCTAAGAAATATGTGTTGGTTGAAGTCACTAAGTCTGTGGTGAAACTTCTCTGTAATAATAGAAAAGAAGCCACCTGTGGTCTTTCAGTTAGACAATGTTAAATAAATAGCTCGGACTTGGCCGACGTGACCTCAACACACAAGTGGGTCATAAACTACTTGCCACTATGGCAAGTAGTGGTTCAACTATTACATGTTCTAAAGTTTGTAAAAATGGTTTACTTTACACACAATACCTTGCTTTGGGGTGAGGAGGAAAAGTTCAAGATGAGTTAAACTATTGATTCTAATTGATTCTTCCAAATCAAGTAGGCTATAAAACAGTGCACCAAATCCTGGCTAAGCCCCTAGCAGATACACCAACGTAGCAACCAAACACCACTGCTAGGCTCTTTTCCCTGTTAACAGGACACAGATGGCACTGCACAGAAATCTGGCTTCAAGCAGAGTGGGCCCAAGATCTGATCTAAGATACACACATACTGCAGTTTTGGCCACGTAGAGAGATATAAAGGAAAGAGGAGAATCTAGTGGTTTCTGGGGAAATATTTTTCTTCCTGATACAAGAAAAGAAACGTCTGTCTTGCACTGCTCTGAATATGAATGTGGTGTGAGGAGACAGATGCCAAGCTTACTGCCCATTTTGCAGTCACAAAGGAAAGGAAAAGAACAAGAGAATTAGACACACCAACCAAGAGTCACAATACTGTGGGTCTGGCAACCTTTAGATTCAGGTGAGATAATTAAATATCCTTGAGATTCAAGGGTCCACCAGACAGTCTCTTACTGGAAGCTGAAAATAATATTAACCAATGCAGTGGAGAAATGCAGGATGATTATGACATGATCCTTGTGCAGATGGGGCTTGCTGTTTAGTGGGAAGTGGGGCGTGTAAACAATGAGGCTGATGAATTAAGCCTCTCAGGAATTCCACCCTGGGAGTAGCCAGCACAGCTGGAGTCACTAGATTGCACATCTGCATTGCCTAACAGACTCCGTCGTAAGACACCTGCCCACATATTGATAGCACCTTGCCTGCTGGTAAAGCAGGAATGGGCAGAACAGCAGGCTCACCTGCTGGGCCACAGCAGTTCGGAAGTCGTGCAGCACATCAAACATCTGGAAGATGTCAAAGGCACGTACCACCTGGATCCTCTGGAGAGCTGCTGCCTGAGGGGTGGGAAGGAGAAGCAGGATAATATGGTCCAGCACCATGACCCCTAAGGGGGTCAGACACCATGGAGATGGTTATTAAGGCTGAGAAAGCAGAAGCACTGAGATGCAGACTCAGAGCCAGGATGGCAAACGGGCTCTTTCTAAAATGGGCCAGTTCTCACAGGGGTGGCTGCCTGGATGCTGAGCTATCAAATCAACTGGGAAAAGAAGCCAGTGGGAAAAAGTGAAGGGCTGATTAGTGATGTCTGTCTTGGGCAGGAAATGGGGCAGAAGCACATATGCTGGGTGATTACCAGCCCTGAATCAGAGAATTCAAGGAGCCAGGAGGGTTTCCTGGAAGAATCACTGGGCTCCTATGATGTCACACTGGGGGTGGTTTGAAGAATACAGACACTGAAACTTGCACAGCAAGTTTCAAAGCCAGAAATGACTATTCATCCAAATGACGACATTTCTTACACTAGAAGAGATACTGGGGTCTTCCTATGCCAGAACCCCAAAGAAACCCAATGCCTCTTACCTGCTCCTCCTCATCTGGAGTTCGGGCTTGCAGTAGTTGGAGAAGGCGGCAGGCTGTCAGTCCTCCATTGGAATCAACATACAAGACATTCTGCTGTAGGCTGTAAGCCACATTTGCAGCCACACAAAGACAAGCCTGAGTAGAAACAGGGCAATGGGTGAACCGGAGTCTAAAGAGGGCCCAGGATGCAGCTCCCCACCAAATCCTGTCCAGGTCCCAGTGACATGAATGGGCCAGGCACAAGCCCTGCTCCCTTTCACCCATTTTCTCCCCTTAAGCCTGGACCCCACAAGCTCCCTGGCTGAAGGAGTCCAGATCTATGCACCCACCTCCCCCATTCTCCTGGATGCTAGTCACACATGTACCTGGGTTTTGCCGCTACCTGGGCCTCCTACGATTTCAGTCACTTCTCCAGTATAGAGACCGGCATCGAGCAGCTTGTCCAAGCTGGTGGCAGAAGCAGAGAGAGAACCCAGGGGATTGGAGGGAAGGGAGAGGAGAAAGAACCAAGAAGCAGCAAGATATTCCTTCTAAGCACTGTTTACACCCAGAACATTTCCAACATCTCTGGCCAGGAGGCTTCTCCTGGTAGAACTTTCTGGAAAGAGGGCATGGCTAAATATTCTCTGTCCCTCCTCCATTCACTCTCAACCTCAAGATTCCCTCTCTAGAGGACTTGGCCACACCCCCATTATCCATCTCAGACCCTCGTGGGTCTCCTTGATAACATTTCTCAAAATTTAAATTTGATCTTTGAAATATTATAGTCATAGGAAATAGAGAAAAAAAAACATAAGGTCCTTTGTACCTTACTTTTCTTTGATGGAAACATTTTTTAAAGATTTATCCACAAGGAACTGGGATAAGGACCAGAGATGCAGAGGTGGTGAGAGGCTTCACTAGAGACAGAGTGAAGAGCAGAACAGGCAGATGTACGGAAATACACTGCTGAGGGGAGCAGTAGGTTGGTCAGGAGAGGTCTGCTGTACCATGTGGGTCACCTCCCTGTCCAGGGATTGAATGCAGTAGCTTCATCCTGTTGTGTTTTAACCCGTTACACCACCAGGGAGGACCCTGGGGTGATTTTTGAATAAAATGTATATGAACACTGGTATACATTTTTTTTTTTTTGGTAGGAAATCAGCATTTCTCTGGATTAAATGTCTAAGAATATAATTGCCAGGTTGTATGACCAGTCACTACGATCAGTATACTAGTATACTAAACTACTATACTATTTCCCTGAGTGACTATGTCATGTTACTTATACAATGTATAAGTACATTGCTAGTCCTTACCAGCATTTGGTGATAACAGCCATTTTTATTTTGGCCATTTTGGTAGGTATGTAGTAATATGTTTTTGTGGTTTAATTGTCATTTCCCAATAACCATGTGAACATCTTTGCATGTGATTATGCCCCCTGTCTGTCCTCTGTGGTGAAATGTTCATTGATGTCTTTTGCCCATTTTCTAAGTGCATTCTTTGTTTTACTATTGAGTTTTATCAATTCCAGATGCAAGTCCATTGTTGAATGTATAGCTTGCAAATATTTCCTTCACTCTATGGCTTGTCTTTTTATTCTCTTTTACACAGCAAAAGGTAAATTTTTTTTTGACTTTTTTTTTTATTAAAAAGTTTATTTTTACATCATTTTTCACATTTTTTTTTCATCTCAATTGTAATCCCCACGGGTTTCCCATCACCAAATCACCCCTGTGCCACCACCATAGTCCCGTGCATTTCCCTCCCTTCCCCCCCCCCGTTTTTGATCCCATTCCCCACACAAAAGGTAAATTTTTATGAAGTATTTTATGAAGTATTTTTCATTTGGTATCAAGTCTAGTATCTTTTGCCTACCCCTACTTTCCAAAGATTGTCTACTGTTTTGTTCGAAAATCTTGAAAGTTAAGATCTTGAAAGTTAAATCTTGAAAGTTAAAATCTTAGCCGTCAAGTCTCTGACCCATTTCCAATTTTGTACGAGGTATGGGCTTTTGGTTTAGACGTATTTATTACCTGTCCTGTCCAATAGCTCCAGCACTCCTGGACCCCATTCCTCATCACAATAAAGGTTCATAAAAGCTCTATCCCTTCTCTGCTAAAGCTTTTTACACCTTTGCCTGCTTGTTTGGAGCCAAGTGAACTTCTAACTACAGAATCTCCATCTTCTCAACTTACACCCACGAACTGCACACAGAACACTATAAGGAAAGCTAGAAACCAGGTGAATCACCGATTCTTCACACCTATATCCCACCTGGTAGTAAGGTGTGTCACATCTCTTCAACACAGCTCCGGTGTCACCTGCACTGCCAGAGGACCCCTAGATTGGGCTCACACCACCTGCAGCACTGCCGTAGTTGTTCCTGGCCTCAGGCCCACCTGTCCCCAGACCCCACTGCCTAAATCCCTACTGTCAGAGTCAACACGGCCTTCCTCAAGGCAGGCAGAGCGCTAAGTTCTTAAGACTCCAAAGGGTGATGGACATGACTTCAGCGCCTGGCCTGTCACCCACGTGATGTTGAAAAAGTCATTTAACCCGAGTCGCTGTTTCCTCATGATGATTTCAAATGTATCACACTCATCGGTGATTAAATGAAATGATGTGCCGGCATGGTGCCTGGTTCTTGGAAAGCACTCTGAGGAAGTCCATCCCTTCTTTGATGCCCAAGGCCAGCATCTCCCAAACAGCTTTCCAGAATCACTCTCATCTCCCCTGCAGTGACCCACTGCAGCTGCAATCCTGCCAGTTTACAGACTGCTCCTTAACTGCTTCCTCTTCCTATTCAGATTTTATAAGCTCCCCAGGCCCAAAGACCAAGTCTCCTTGCTGTTCATCATCCTCTCCTTGTGCTCCTACTTACTCCTCTCTGGGTTCACCTGCTCTTTTCTCTGTTCTATGGGCCCAGAAGCCTGGCCATACTTGTACACACGTCACCACCTGCACATATCTGCCGCCCAGTAGGCACTCTGCTGAGACAAACCTCACACTAAGCTCCCAGTAAACACTCAACCAGTGCGTGATGGCTGTGTGAATCTTGCCAAGAAAAGGCGTTATGGAAACAGCAAGGGGCAATCCAATGCAAAGCCCATTGAGGTGACAGAGTTCTCCATCAAATTCTGCACAGACAGCCCAAGAAAGAGATTAGACTCCCAGGGCAAGAAACTCCCTGTTGGGCCCTCCCTGGTGGTGCAATGGGTTAAACTTAGCACTGTGAAGCTATCCGCAGCCACTGCAGCACAAATTCTTTCCCCAGCCAGAGAGGAGACCCACATGGCACTGTTTTGCCCAGTGTTCCCCTCAGCAGTGTATTTCAGTCACTTTGCTTGTTCTGCTCCCCACTCTGTCTCTGGTGAATCCTCTCACCCTCCGCACCTTCAAACTGTATCCCAGTTTTTGTTTGCATAAATAAATCTAAAAAAAAAAAACAAACAAACTACCTATCGTCTTCCAATTCTTTATCTAAACAATGTGGCAAATGTCACTATTTCTTTAAGAGAGCTCTGGCTCCATCCTGCTGTAGAGTATCAGGAGTGAACCAAGTTCAGGTCCAGCACCCCAGCCCTCAGCGCCCACCTCCACCACTTACTCTTCTTGGGCTAAACTCATGTGGGATTAAGAATCTCTACTCCTAGGGTCACCAGTGAGATTTATGTCCTAGAATGATGGCAGGCATATAGTAGACACTCAGAAACTGTGTATATGGCAGAGGACACTGCCACGTTCTCTCTTGTCCTATGCTTAAGTCAGGTTGGAGGTTGTGTCAGAGAAGAGCAGGTCTCATCAGCTGAATAATTAAATACTGACCTCTTAAATAAGAGGACAGTGGTTTTGTCCCTAGGGGGCCACTAGGTAATGTCCAGAGACCTTTTTGGTAGCCGTAACAAGGTAGGAGAGGAGCCCCTAGCATCTAGAGAATATAGAGGCCCTGGATGTCACCGAACATCCTAGGAGGCACAGGACAGTCACATCCCCCTGCCCTACCCATAAATAAACGTCTATCTGGAACTGTCAGGTGAAAGATTGAGAAACCCTATTAGAGAGTAAGAGAACTTGGAAGTTTTACCCAGGCTCCATCCTGAAAACCCGGCTCTCTGTAGACCCCAGGGCCAGCAGCAGAGCTGGAGGTGGCCATCTCCTGGTCGCCCCTGCCCCAAGTACACTTACTAACCTTCCGATGCCGGTGGACAGGATGGCCGTGGAAATCTTGAGTTCCTCGTAGAGATCGGCGCCATTGAAGGGGAAAGCTGAGAACTGAGCCAGCAGCACCCGCCTCAGGGCCACCAGAGCCTGCGGAAGGGGCGGGGTCGATTCAGGGCCAGGCAAGCACCCTTGAACCCAAAGCAGCCCCGGGTGCTACGCCAAACCCGTCAAGGCAGGGGGGGACCCCAGAGTCTGGTAAGCCCCGCCCCTCTTGGCAAACTCTGGGAACCCTGGCTGCGCGGGCATTGACATTTTCAGCCACAGGGGTGCGGATCGTGGGGGCGGCCAGCTCACCTTGTAGGAAAGACCACATTTCTGGGCTACCTCCTCCAGGTTTGCAGAAACCAGGTCCACCACTGAAAACAAAACGTGTCTTTGGTTGGAAGGGGGCCGGGGAACTTCCCACACTTTGCCTGCGCAGGAAACGGGGTGACTCGCAGCAGGTGGCCTCAGGAGGCTTTTGTTAACTAACCGTCGCAGGGCCTGGCTGGCGAGGGGTACATTTAGGGGCTCCGCCCTTCAAGGGCTAGGTTCTCCCCTCTCCTCCTTCCGGCTCTGCCGAGGGAGCAGGGGTGCGGCGAGCGGCCCCGTGGCGGGGGGGGGGGGGGTGGTAATGCTCCTCCCGGCCG